AGAGTCTCGTCTGGGGTGCTGGACAGCTATCCGACTCTGTGTCTACAGGGTCTATGGGGAATTTTTGCTTGAGCCTACATGCTCACTTTTGCCCCGCATTAAAATAGGCCTTGTGCCACATCCTCCCTCGCAAGGAGGTAAGGTAAATATCCTTGCTTTGGCAATTAGTTAGATATTCATCTCCAGCTGTGCTGGTTGAATTCTCTGCCTTTGGGCAGAGAGGAACCTAGAAGAAGCTATGCTGAAGGGCAGAGTCTCATCTGGGGTGCTGGACAGCTACCTGACCCAGTTTTTATGGGCTCTACAGGGAATTTTTGCCAGAGCCTACAGGCTCGCTTTTCCCACACATTAAAAATCAGCCTTGTGCCACATCCTGCCTCACAGGGTGGTAATATAAATAACTTTGCTTCAGGAAGACTTCATTAGACTCAACCAACTCTTTCCAAATCTTCTGCACTGTCCTCAGATTGACATCCAAATGTTAACTTGCTTAGATGATAGACATTAAACAACCTAAGTACTTCTCTTCACTGAAGAGTTCCTTTCATAGAAATAGTTCAAGGGAGATAACTGATAATCCACATTGAAGGTACCTTCATTTAGTTTGGTTTGGTTTTGTTTGTTTATCGTAGGTCATTTAATGCTGAAAAACTTCATTTAGTACACTTTTTTTTCTTTTTCAAAGTTGAGATGTACCACGTACTTTTAACAATTTAAGTGTAGAAGGCCCTCTTTTTGTACACTATTTACATTGTTCAGACTATTGTGCTCATCTTTGTCACCATATTTATTACAACATTTTGGCCGTTGTATGCTCCGGCCTTCATCAGGTGGTTGGAATGTTGAACAGAACCCTTTATTTTGCTCACTGGGGTAGATTGTTCTAGTTCCATGTTTAATGGATGTCTGTTATCAGTTATCTCCTGTTAATTCCCCTCTCCAAGTTCTCCACTGCCATAACTGGGTATTGAACTCACACTCTTTGGGTCCTGACACTGGATCTAACCAATGCCTTTATCCACTGTGCCATGTGTCCTTGAGAAATATAGACAGATGTCCCTCTTTTTGTCAAGGAATCTGCCAATTGTAATTTCCCATCCACCTAAAATACCTTTATTTCCCCCTCTGACACCATTTCTCCCAGTCTTGCCATGTCCACATTTAATCTTCTGTTACTAATAATATTTGTAGTTCCCAAAGCACTAGTCAGTGATCCATTGTCTGTATAATATTGTACTGATGGCAATTCAGCCATACCAAAAGTTTCTTAGAACAAAGAAAAGACAAAAAATCCTGTATCTGCTGCCTCATTTAATGCCAAAGTTTTAGATGCTAATGGAATCTGTTACTCTTTCTAACTTTTTAAATTGCTAGCTACTTTCTTGTTCTCACCTTGAAGATCCATCTTCATAAAATGTCCCACAAAGATACTGGGTCTCAGATTGCTACCATTTTTTACTTGCTTAGACGATAAGTACTTGTTCTCACTAAAGAGTTCCTTTTCTAGAAATAATTAAAGGGAGATAACTGATAATCAATGCCAAACACTGAAATGTTCATATTGAAGCTTCCAGCGCAATTGTCAAGCTGCACAGTATGCATCATGGTGCTCTTTTTCTCACGGACGGTGTACAACTGACCCTAATATACTGTGGAGTCAACAAAATAAAAAAAATAAACAACAGGCATGCACAAAATTGAAAATATAAAATGGTGACAATTTACCGATAGAACACTGATTTATATATATATATATATATATATATATATATATATAAGTAAATCATTGAATCTAGAAGACCACGGAATATGTGATAGAGCTGCTCTTTATCGATTCTGATTTGCTACCTCTTCATCACCGAGGCCCATTCGATCAGTTGGTATGACGTTTGCCTGATAACATAACTGTCCAGGCTTCAATTCTCGGTAATGGACGCGCACTGCTGATGAGTCCCAAATATAGGATGAAACAACCATTTATACAAAAACTAAATTACTCTCCATTAACCACCATAGAGATCCTTCCCTGCCCTCCATTAAAATGTCTGATAGTCAACTTCCTGAGAGCAACTCCCTGTATCTGCTCGGTCTCACGCTGACTGCTGACCTGAGATGGAACAAATACATTGAGTCAATTGCATCATCCACCGCGAGGAAAGTTGGCTCTCTGTGCCGCGCCTGGAAATTTTTCTCCCCTGAATCGATACTTCAAATATACAAATCAACCATTCGCCCTTGCATGGAGTATTGCTGCCATATATGGTCTGGGGCACCTTCTGTTTATCTCAGAGTTCTTGACAAGATCCAGAGACAGATATGTAATCTAATTGGCCCTGATCTAGCGTCTTGTCTGCAGTCACTCTCTCACAGACGCCCGTCGCCTCTCTCTTTTTTCTACAAATACTTCCATGGTAACTGCTCTGACGAGCTGCTTTCACTGGTTCCCAGACTCCATGAATTCAAGCACCCCTATGAGGCTGGCATCCCATCCCACCCTTACACCGTAGAAACTTTCAAATGTAGCCGTCTCTTCTACTCCAATAGCTTCATACCTCGCACCTCTCGCCAGTGGAACACCCTCCCCAATTACTGTTTCCTGAAAGCTATAATCTCCAACTATTCAAATGTAATGTCAATCAGCATCTCCAGTTACCTTGATCTACCCACTATCCTTCACCTCATCCTTTCTCCTATCACTCCTATCTGCTCTCGCTCCAAATTTTCTGCAACCCCCTGCATCCTAGTGGCTTCACGCATTGCTTGGGGTCTAATGCTTAAAAAAAATATATATATATATATATATATATATATATATATAATAAAGTAAATCATTGAGTCTAGAAGACCACGGAATATGTGATTGAGCAGCTCTATATCAAGTCTGATTTGCTACCTCTTTATCACCGAGGCCCATTGGAACAGTTGCTATGACATTTGCCTGATAACGTAACTGTCTGGGTTTCAATTCTCGGTAGTGGATGCGCACTGCTGATGAGTCCCAAATATAGGATGAAATGACCGTCCAGTGCTTTCTGCATTCTGTTGAGGTTTCTTCTAGACTCGATGAATTACTTAATTATAATTATCTCAAATCCTCCTAATTTCTATCACTTATATATATATATATAATTATTATTATTATTATTATTATATATATATATATATATATATATATATATATATATATATATATGATTACTTATTTAAAAATTTGATTCCAATGCTACATAAGAGTTCTCATGTTTCAAAACAAGAGCCGAAAACTTCAATAAAATTATTTGAATTAAATTGAATTAAAGTATCAAGCTCTGTTCCATCTTCAAGCGAAATTCTTTTTTCTTGTTTTGAAACATGAGAACTCTTATGTAGCGTTGGAATCATATTTTTAAATAAATAATTATATTTAGGCTCTACTTTTGTATCAAGCACTGTTTTTTAAAAATAATAACAAAAATACTAAAGAACTTTGGATTATTTACCTAACAAGTTCTTTCCTATTTTCTATATATTTTACACACACACACACACACACACACATATATATATATATATATATATATATATATATATATATATCTTGTATTGGAATTTTCCACTCTCCCTATTACCTACTGTGGACTGACTATATCAGTTTATATATGTAGTGTGCACAGGACATACCAGTGACTGTCTGTCTGACTAGCTTCGGGAAGCGTTAGTCGATTCTCTGTCTCTCAGTAGTGTATACTCTTTTACAATAAACCTCTCTTTCTTCCATCTATGCCTGTGTTGCTGTTCCTTCCACTTGAGTACCACATTTTCCTGTTTGTAACCTTTTCAAGGATATATATATATATACATATATATATATATATATATATATATATATATCAGAGGTTTTTGGAGTTTCAGCATCTGACCACAACAAAGCTTTCATCAAGTCCCAAGAATTGGTTTGGGACTGAAATATTATTGCAAATAAACCATGGAACCTGAGCAATACCTCATGATATCACATCATGCACCTCCATTCCCACTTGGATAGTTTAGTGGTTCTGAAATTTTACATTTTTTCCCTCCTGTTGCCACAGAAACCTTCAGGTATTGATCAACTGCCTTGTATTAATTCTAATTAAGATGTCAGCTTGAATTTGCATCTTCTATGCACATACACACAGACACGTGCACACACACACCCACACCCACACCCATATATATATATATATATATATATATATATATATTTTTTTTCTGTTTATATGTTACTTGTAATAGAAATTTATTTAAGTAAATGCTCTGTTTTTTTAAGTAAGCAGTATTAATTACATTTACTGGTCTGAATGTTTGAGAAATTTTGTAGAAAATATGCATTCTCTGACAGGAATCAAACTTGTATTCCGAAACAGAAATCATCATTTGATTTGATGTGCTATACCATTTCGCTACAGAGAAGTGTTTGATTAGCAAAGTTCAAATTAATGTTTTTAAACACACAATCTTTGATGATTTTTCTTGATCGATCATATCTGCTCACAAAATGTATTTTTAACATAAAGAATGACAACATATAATGAAATGAATTAAGTCTGACAATTATTAATACATTTAGTGTTTATACCTTATTTTTAATAGATACAATTTAAGTAATTGCTTTAATTTTTAATTAAACAGTATTAATTATATTTACCGGTCTGAATGTTTAAGAAATTTCATAGAAAATATGTGCTCTCTGACAGGAATCTGTTAAAAATAACGTATAAACAGAAAATATATTAATAATTGTGGGACTTAATGTACCTAAGAGAATAGCCTTTAAATCCATTATCACCATTACATCAGAACCACCAACCTTTTGGCAACACCAGTTGAACTCTACCCCCAGGGAAATCATTAACTTCTTCCCTCTCTCCCCAATGTAAAAGGGCTCTTTCCAATGTCATCATTGCCATTTTAACATCAATATTTCAAAGTATTAGAAATAGAAACTTAAGTCAATCACTTTTCTTTTCATATCACAACTTATGGTTTTTCTCATTTTTATTGTCTTCTTTCCATTTCTTAATGTCTTTTTTTTTTTTTTGAATTCTTATCTTTCTGTCCACTTCTTATCTTTCTGTCCACTTCTTATTTTTCTGTCCACTTCTTATCTTTCTGTCCACTTCTTATTGCTTTTCTCTCTAATTGTTAATACCTTTCTTTCTTACTTATTGTCTTTCTTTCTAATTCCTACATTTTTTTGCCACGGCTTCTCTCAATTTCTACTTTTTCTTGACATACACAGTCTGCCCCCCCCCCCTGCTAATACTGATAATTTTTCTCCAGATTTCAGATCTTAACGGAAGTGAGCTGGCCCGTCTCAGCCATAGACATGCAGTTGAAGCTGCAGCTGCTGCTGCTGCTTCTCTCACTGTTGCTATTGACAATGAAGGGTGAGCTGAAGTCAGATGGGAGACTGTGAATGAAACAAAGAGTAAAAGGGTTTGGTGGGTTGGTGGGTTGATCACAGTCTAAAATTGATTCTATCAAGGCCGTTTATACAAACGCACACACACACACACACCCCTCTGTAATTACATATAATGATAATTATTCCATACAATCACTGTCTGGGAGAAAAAAAAAGCAACAGTACATCCAACAAAGCTTTCATCAAATCCCAAGAATTGGTTTAGGACTGAAATATTATTATAAATAAACCAGGGTACCTGAGCAATACCTCCCGATATCACTAGCCAGAGGTGGAGTTCAGATGCAGCCTCCCTTGAAATTACTTTATATTGGGTAGCCTAACAAGTCCATTCTGTTATTGCTATCAGATGGCATTAAGTGTACTTACTTTTACACATTTTTTTTTTTTTTACTTATGTTTACTCAATACAAGGCTCAAAAGCCACTCAAGGTAGAGGGTTACTGAATGAAGTGAATGGTATGGATACAAGAGGAAGAAGTGGAGATTATAAGAATATAGAGGATCAATAACAATTGACGCTAGACTTGTTTTGTTTGTTTTTCCTTCCACTTGTGCTGTTAGGTGTCATGGGGAGACACAGTTGTCTGTCAGTGGCAAGGCAAGTGGCCTGGAGGAGTTAACTCATGAGCTCTGAGAGTGTCTGCCACTGAGTCACTCCAGCATCTTCTTGGTCTGCCTCTCACTCTCCAGCCAGAGTACCTGAGGGTGTATGCTCATAGGGATGGTTGGTTGATAGGCATACGAGTGAGGTGTTCAAAACACTTGATCCTCTGTTGTTCAATGTGTTGTATGATTGGTATTGTCCCTACCATCTCTCTCTCTCATTGCCTCATTCCCAATCTTGTCATGCCTGGTCTTGTTCACTGCTTTTCTCAGGCATTTCATCTCACAAGTGATCAGTTTCCTCTCAAGGATTTTTGTTAGGGGCCATGTCTGGCACTGGTATATTAGCGTTGGTAGGAAAATGGTGTTGATGAGATTTGCCTTGGTGCTCATGGAAATGCTAGGATGTTTTAGAAAAGGAAATGATTGTGTTGGCTTTCTAGACTTGAAGAGGTTCAAATTCTAGTGTGCAAGGAAGCATCCACACAGGAGTCTGTTCCACAGAGTAGCAGTTCTTGCTTGAGTGGAACTTTCTTCTCACAAACGCAATACAAAGAGAATCACTGTGATTTAACTCTGTGGCAGGTCTTAGCAGTAAAGGTCTGAACAAGAGGCACTAAAGAATGCAGCTTGTCAGAACATTTACCATGGAAATAGCACCAGAGTAGCGATAGTCTGTGGGAAAGAAGCTGTATGATGGAAAATAAATCACCCCCCCACTACAAAGCTGTATAAATGATTTTGAAATCTGTCATGATTAGAAAGTGAAACCTAACTTTATTAAATACATTAGTTGAGAATAATTGGTTTTAAAGCGAAAACAATGACATAGCAGCTTTCCACACTATCTTAAACAAAAGCTTAGGAAGGAAACTGCTATAAACACTAGAAAGAACAATAATGGTCAGTGAACTAATTTCCTCAAGAAATGTATTAAAAACTGCTTCAAGTGAATGAATCCTCCTGGTTTTAAAGAAGAAAATCCTTTGTTAGACTCTATAGACTGGTGCTATAGAATTACAAAGAATTTTACCAAATATCAAAAACCACATCACTTGAAGACTTCCAACAGCAGCAACAACTAAAATGAGTAGCACACGTAACTAGAAGAGAAAATAATGATATAATAAAGATGTTGACTTTCCACACTGCCTTAAACAAAAGGTTAGGAAGGAATCAATAATAGAAAGAGTGATAACAGTTACAAGAGTTGAGATGTTTAGTTTCTTGGAAAACTGTTTTAGTAAAAAGATTTTATAAATTTCAACTGACAGTAACGTTAAATCTTCAGTCAATAAATGGTTAATATTTCCTGTATGGCAATTGGCTAGTCTCAGTATTGTCATTACCATTAATTCATTCATATCTATCTATCTATCTATCTATCTATCTATCTATCTATCTATCTATCTATCTATCTATCTCTGTTCATATCTATTTATCTATCTATCTCACTCTGTTCATATCTATCTATCTATCTATCTATCTATCTCACTCTGTTCATATGTACTTCAATCTCTCTATCTATCTAAATGTTTTCTTATCTATTTTACTCTGTTTATATCTATTTATTTTAATCTTTTTGTATCTATCTATCTCACTCAGTTCATGCCTATTTCAATCTTTTCACATCTATCTATCTATCTATCTATCTGTTTCACTCTGTTCATATCTGTATATTTCAATCTTTTTGTATCTATCTATTTATCTCATTCTGTTAACATCTATCTATCTATCTATCTCAGTCTTATCTATCTATCTATCTATCTATCTATCTATCTATCTATCTATCTATCTATCTTAGTCTGTTCATATATATCTATCTATGTTGATATCTTCATGAACTATCTATGGTGTTTTTGTTTTCATTTTTACTGAAACTCACATAAGTCTGCTAAATATTTTTTGCAGGACAAATTTTCCAGAAGACATTAAATATATTTGCTGAAAAAGGTCTACCCCTTGCAGCAAAGGGGTGATTCTATTAACAAAAGTCCCATCAATACCAGAAAGAGTGATAACAGTGATTTTGAGAAGTCTATTTAACTGAAAAACTGTTTCAACCCACTAATGTTTACTGTTCAATCAATGAATATCAAATGGTTTTTTTTAATCAATTCACCCCAAGCAAGCTGATAATGCCATTAAGACTACAGAGGGTGTTAGAGAATGAAAAGGCTTTAGAAGGAATCAGAAAGCAGGAAACAAGGGATAAATCTCTACTCCCGTTCAAAAGACCAGGGAGGAGTTTGAACTGATTGATAGGAGAACCTGTCTACTCCTGTATGTATTATTTATTATTTTATTTGGTTGAGCTATCTTGGAATTTCATAAGTCTATCATGTCAACCATTATAGTCCTGTATCAAGGTTGGGAGGTTATCTGTGTCATAACATTGCGGGTCAACATAGGTGGTTATTGAATGACCAGCCCATCTTGTGCCATGACTAGGATCTCCAGAGCAGTAGATCACTTGCAAGTTCTTGTTTTGCTCTCTAGCAGTGTTCTGCAAATCACATTCTGCATTCACATAAGATTGTAGAAATATTAGGCCTTGGACTGTAGAACTGTGATTTAGTTGGATGTTGTCTCCAAAAGATGTTAAGTATAGCGCTCAGTATCTGAATATAGGTTCCATCAAGCTTAGACTCTAGAGTTTTAGTTAATGCCCAAACAGTTGCACTATACATTAACATTGCCTCTAGAGTGAAAAAAATTCAAAAAATTAAATGTAAAGTCAATCATTGCCTTTGGCCTTATTAATTTCTGTTCTTTTATTGTTCTTAATAATGTTTTTTTCTTTTTCTTATTGTTGTAGCATACCTACGGATGATAATGGGTATGTCTTCATTCACATAAATACAGTAGTAAATACTGTATGTTGGTCTGCAGTTAGAGATTCATCTCCAGCTGTGCTGGTCAAACTCTCTGCCTGGAGGCAGAGAGGATCCCCAGACAAGGCTATGTTAAAGAGCAGAGCCTTGTCTCAGGAAACAGCTACCTGACTCCATTTTATACAGGGTCTACGGGGAATTTTTGGCTGAGGCTACAGGCTTGGATACCCCACATCAAATTCAGTTTTGTGCCACATCTGACTGCATGGGGCCATTGGTAGATATCCTGTAGTTGGAGATTCATTGTGGAATTTACTTGACTCATTTCTAGCAGTTAACTGCTTCTATGCGCTGCTGACGAATCTTATATGTGTTGTTCTTGTCCTAAATATTATCGTTCAATACCAACCATCATGTGATTATTCCATTCAGTAACCTTCCCTACAGCATATATTCTTTCACACTCACTAACCCCCTTTCATATTAGTGGCTTTATTGCCTTACTTGGGGTGAAATGAATAAAAAAATATACACTCTTCATTATTACTATTATTTTATTACTAGTTTTGTTACATCTTATTCTCATTGATTTTTATCCCAACACTCCGAGTCAATACCCTCTTCATTATTACTATTAATTTATTAATTAGTTTTAATCTATCCTATTTATCTTTCTATTTTTTTATCATAACCCTCTTCAACTGCTTAAGTAATACTGAGTAGTTTCTCTTTTATGTTTACAGATTAAAATTGATTTACAGAAAAAAATCCTTGACCTCAGAAGAAACCTTGTGATGTGAAATGTAGTCTTTGATAATTACATTTTGAATCCAAATCAACTTTTACAAATGATTTAAAAGATATTACAGATTTGACTTTTTCTTGAGACTGACTTTTCCATCAGCAAATACCTTATTTAGGTTAGTCAAGCCTGTCCTTTTACTCAATCACAAGTCTTTTATTGGTTCATTGATTATATTCTTGTCACTATGGTACCCACTTGGGAACTGCCAGTAATTTGTAGCAGCATCTGATTAACTACATGTGGGTCGGTGTCAATTGTAAGCTGTTGGTGGGGTGGGAGTCATCCTGTTTTTAATTACAAGCATTAATATCAGTTTTTTTCTCTCTTTCTCTCTCACTCATTTTTCTTTTCTCTCTTTTTTTTTCTCTTTCTCTGTCTATTTCTGTCTCTTGCTTTTAAAGGCTTCTTGTAATATAAAACTAAAATTGCTTGTGAGGACCTGTCAAACTAAATGATTTCTCACTTAATCTGAAGACAACAAAAATTTAGGGCAGTTTTTTTTTTCTTTCAGATATCTGACACTACTTAAATAGACTGGTCCATTCGTAAAAAATAGGGAAACATTTTCTGGGGAATAATTCTTATATATTATCATTCATAATATAATAATTCTATCCACAGCATTTTTCAGACTCAAAAAATAATTGATTTTTTTATCATTTTAGGAGAGTTGTCTTTATCATAATATTGATAAATCAATCCCTGACTTTTACAGAGTGATCTGGTCCTAGTTTTTTTATTTACAAAAAACATGCTTACATCATTAATATCTGCATATATTTATAAATTTTTACTAATTTATGTAAAGTTTGGCTGCAAAAAGACGAAATGTATGGTTGTTAGCAAAAGGGATGAGCCCAAAATGCAAATTACAAATCAGAGAGATCAAAATCAAACAAGTACAAAATACTTAAATATCTAGCAAGTGTTTTAACAGAGGATGGTAAGTGTGACACTGAAATCTAAAGGTACATTAGAATAGACAAAGATGCATTCTAAAAGCTAAGCAAAGTACAGTAGAATCCCTGAAAACTGGACTACGAAAGCCTTCTGTATATGAGGAATTGGTTACAAAGTCTGGATATATTTAGACTAAAATAAAAGAATTGAAATCAGGTTTAATGTTTATTTTCAATATTTTACAGCAAACAAAATAAGCTAATGCTGAGTGAAATATAACAGAATTGATTTTAAGGAAAAAGAAATAAATTATCTAATGTTAATGAAAATTCATTAAATTAAGTATACCACATATGCAAAACAAATAATGTAGCAAGGCTTTTACTACAACCACCATAAAACCTCCAAGTCACTATGAAGTCTTAAACAGTCTTCGTATATACAATTGGTCTGTGGTAGGTAGTGAATAAATAACAACTTTTAAAAAGGAAAACCTTAATACAGTAGAATCCCTGACAGCCAGACTAAGAAGGCCTTCTGTATATGAGGAATTAGTTATAAAGTCCAGATAGGAGGGGTTATATTTAGATTAAAATAAAAGAACTGAAATCAGGTTTAACATTTATTTTCAAAGTTTTATAGTAAATGCTATAAGCTAATGGTGAGTGAAATATAACGGAATTGATTTTAAGGAAAAAGCAATAAATTATGTAATGTTAATGAAAATTCATATCATATATTACATATCAAATATACACATCAAAATCATGTCCAGATATGCAGGATTCTGGATATGAGGCACTCCGGATATGAGAGATTCTGGATATGAAGGATTCTACTGTATTAAGAAACAGAAAAACTTAGAAACAAAAAAAAAGACTATGAAACTGTTATGTGATGTCCGTTCTTTATAGGAGTGAATACTGGACAATTTCTTCAAAGATTAAGAAGAGACTTGAAGCAACAGAAATGTTGTTCTACAGAAGGATGCTGAGGTTATGATGGACGAAATTAATGAGCAATGATAAAATTTTAAAGAAAATGGGAACTAAAAAAGAAACTTATACTTAATGTCAAGAAGAGACAGTTGAAATTTATAGGGCACATAATGAGGAAAGAGTGCTTGGAAAATCTGATACTCACAGGACAGATTGAAGACAAGATAGACAGAAAAACAATGCATAACATACTTAGTGAGCTTGAGTAAATGGATGGCAAAACAAGGTTTAAGTGAAATAAAAAAAAGATAAAATTTATTAAGAGCTACGAAGGACAGGAAATTGTGGAGAGCCATGATCGCCTACTTCTTGAGAGGGATATGGCGCGTAAAGAAGACAAATTAAAAATGTATATATCCATTTGTCCTTTAATGAAAAGAAATCTGTTTTGTAAAAAAATACAAAAAAATAGTTTCACGTGACAAACGATTGTTTAAAACAGTGGACAGCAACCTTTTGGAGGGAGCAGGCCAGACAGTTATGAAATGTCTTGAAGGAGGACTATGATATCAAATGTACTATAATAAATTGTCTTGACCTCAGACCACTCCATCCAGAAGGCTGCCTTGATTTGGAGGTTTAAAGAAAAACAACAAAGTTAATGTTATATTACTTAAACAAGATTCTTTATTTTACTGCAGGAATAACAGTATAACAGCTAACGCAATCGACAAAAATGTAAATTCCTTACTACGACTCAGTTGGCGGGCTGGACAAAAATCCTTCCTGAGCTGGAGGTAACCTGGAGGTAACCTGGAGGGCTGGGGGTTACTGACCACTGGTTTAAAATATACATATATCTGTTTGTGCTTTAATTAAAAATTAACGAGGTCTGATAAAAATGTATTGGGTCTGGTGCTATAAAAAGAAAACTACAACATATATCAATTCAACATTTAATTTCCTTCAAAGAAGTTACCTTCCAAAGCCATACACTTTATCCAGCATCATTTCCATTTCTTTTTTGGGATATCGAGTAGCTGATTCGTCACATTTTCTTGAATATCCTCAATGTCTTGAAATCTTTTTCCTTTCTAGTGGGATTTGATTTTTGAAGAGGAAACAGTCGCAAAGGGCAAGATCTGGCAAATATGGTGATTGTTGGATCTAGGGAATGTTGTACTAAAAACTGCTGCACAAGCTATATTTTCACTGATGGAACCTCTGTCGTTTGGTGGGACGACCACACTCTACACACTTTCCTTCCAAGCACTGCTATAAACAATGGAAGTGAGCAAGAATGTTATAACAACAGAGTTCAAGGCTA